CAATAAAAATATATTTTAAAAATAAAATAAAATAAAAAGAATGTATAAAACTCAAGACCAAAAAGGCGGACAACCCAATTCAAAAATGGGCCGATGACCTGACTCGATGCTTCTCCAAGGAGACGCACAGGCGGCCAAGGGTCACATGAAAAGACGCTCAATGTCACTGATCATCCGAGAGATGCAAATTAAAGCCCCAGCAAGGGACCCCCTCACACCTGTCAGAATGGCTTCCATCGACAAATCAATAAGTGCCAAGTGCTGGCGAGGATGCAGAGAAAAGGGGTCCCTGTGTACAGCTGGTGGGGAGACAGATGGGTGCGGCCACTGTGGGAAAGTGTGGAGTTCCGTGGCACCCCGGCCTCGGGGACAGAGCGCTCTCTCTCACCCACTATGGGGGCCTGGTCAGTGGTTTCCTTCCCTGGGGCCTGTCCGCCAGCATCAGGAGCCGCCCTGACGCCACCTGTCCCCCCCCCCAACGCCACCTGCCCCCATGCCACCTGCCCCTGTGTCTAGAGCGGGTGGGTGAGCCTCGCTGTGGACTTGGTCCCGTTCTAAGAACCGAGGCGGAAACCCAGCAGTTCTCGCTCCGATTTCAGCGCTAACCGAGTGAGCCGTGGACGAGCGAGACGCCCCGCGCAGGGGGTTACCTGCGGGTCCGGGTGTCGGCTGACAAGGATGGGGACGGGCCCGGGCTCGCAGTGGCTCAGGACCGCGTACACGTCGTTGAGCGTCATGCAGGTCACGGGGGCCTCGTTGATCTCCACGATCTCATCGCCACACCTGGGGGGCACCAGCGGGGCCCCGGGGAACACAGCATGGAGTTAACGCCCAAAATTAAAAAGACAACTGCCTTAGGGCCCAGCGATGCCACTTCTGGGAGTACATCCGAAGAATCCCGAAACACCGACTCGAAAGAATGTACGCAGCTCTGTGTTCATTGCAGCATTATTTACAACTAGAGGCTCGGTGCACGAAATTCGTGCACTCGGGGCGGGGGAGTGTCCCTCAGCCTGGAATGCGAGAGGGCGCACTGGTGGGGTCCCTCGGCCTCCAACCACCTCCCCTGCTATTGCCACGATTCTGCGCCTCTAACCACCCCCCTGCTATTGCCACGATTCTGCGCCTCTAACCACCTCCCCTGCTATTGCCATGATTTTGAGCCTCTAACCACTTCCCCTGCTATTGCCACCCACCTGCCTGCAAGCCCTCCCGCCAGCCCGAGGGACCCCTTCCGCTCCAGCCCCGAGTGAGGGGGACCTACCGGAGCCGGCC